GATGGAAAATTACTCGTGATCGAAAAACCCGAACTCTGAAGATTTCTCAAGCAAGTTATATACTTAGCAAAATAGATTCCCTCGGGCTAAGTAACACGAAAGTTTTCAAGTCCCCCATGGATGGATACAGGGCGATTTTACCAGCAGATGAAGAGGAGCCCCTTGCTGACAACTCAGCATATCCTAGTGCAATTGGGAGTCTGGGATATGCTTCTAATAGTACAAGGACTGATATTTCCTTTGCAACATCTCAGTTAGCAAGATTCAATGCGGCAGCTGTTACCCATCATTGGAATGGCGTTTGTAGAGTCTACAGATACTTGAAAGGTTCCAATGATACCAGTCTTACATAAAGCTTTGGAATACCCTCTTCTGAACTGAAAGAAAATTTGATGGCTGCAATATATTCCGACTCCGATTATGCGTCAGATGTTGTCACTCATCGATCTGTAAGTGGGTTCCTAATGATGCTGAGTGGAGGACCCGTTAGTTGGCAATCTAAAAGACAGAAATCAATTGCAACTTCCACAACAGAAGCTGAGTACATAGCGATATTCTAAGCATCAAAGCATGCTATCTGGGCCACTAGAGTTCTGGAAGAACCAAATGTTTCCGAGGAACTTGTCGGAAATTCCGGGATGAAAGTTTACACAGATAACCAGAGTGCGTTGGCCATAGTCAGTGGTACGAATTCAACCAAAGCCAAACATATTGATGTCGCCTATCATTTTGCTAAAGACTGTGTTCGAAAGGGTACTATCAATGTTGAATACATCCCATCATGTGAAATGCTAGCAGACATACTCACCAAGCCGCTCCCTCACTCAAAAGCTGTACCCCTATGTAATAAAATCTTTCATAAGTTTAAAGGCTAATTTGAAGGCTATTGCGCAGGCCAGAGGAGCCTGCAGAAAATATTCGATGAAAATATTAATTTAAAACCCTAACAATTCAGGTTATGATTCCTAACGAGGCAACGTGACTCATTAGTCAGGAGGAGTGTTGAGACTTAGTATATACATTATGATTACGGGGTAAATAATATATGGGTCACATATTTACCTGACTGTTAGTGGTCACCAGTTGGGCAGGAAGTCTGCATGACATGTTGTGTTGGGGAAGATCAAGGTCACGTGATGGTGGCCTTCGGATATTAAGCAGGAGGCGGGAAGACAGATCACTCGCTCCGTTCAGGACACGAGAAGAAGATATTAGTATTGGCTCTACAGAGCTGGATCACTCGATGCTGTTGCATATATGCTGAGCGGTATCTGACCTCGTGCGGCTAGCGTTTGTATTCCAGAGGCTTATATTGTCGCCACCCCGATCGCTTCCATATATAGTTTTTACCTGGACGCTTCCGTGCCCGAAGCTTGGTGGCGAGCAGTAGATGTGTATGTTGCAGCGCTTGGCGTGGGTTCGCATCTTCGGTAACATTGTCGTTATTTGCCAGTAATATCTAAACACGCGGCAGTCTATGGCGCTGAAGCCTGGTGGAGTGAACTGACTCGTATCACGACCAAACAAGACAAGAAAGTAAGTACGGGTGTTGGATGACATCTCCAGCTACTAGTCAGGACTATTTTGACTGGAATTCGAGCTGCACTACCAGTGTGGCGCACTACACCATAAATAGTTCTGCACCGAGAATCAGGGATCTTATCTGCAGAAATAATGCTCCAGCAGCGACAGCTCCGAAGTGCGGCCAGAATCCGCCGACTTGATAGCTATTATCCACGTGCACCAAGGGCAGTTGAGACACCCAAAGAGGCAACCATGCGAATCCAACTGCGAGAGGAGCAGAAAGGATGTGCCTTTAGGGTTCCACAGCAATACCTGACACGCCTCCAGAACAGGAACCTTAACCTATCAGAATCAGAAGGTCCCGGGCAGCTTTATAAACCACGGGCCGCGATTGCTACAGCCAGGGTCAAATGCGACAAGGAGGAAAAGGTGAAGCAGATTAAGCTGTGGCTTAGAAATTTTCCCGCAGGCACGCTGTGAATCTACTCTGATGGGTCATCTACCGGCCCAGCATACTCAGCCTATGGCTACGCCATCTATAGGGATAGAGAACTCATAGCGAGTGGTTGTAATTTCCGCCCTGGAGCTGAGATTTTTGATGCGGAAATCGTGCGAGCAGTTCGAGGTCTAGAGGCGGCACTAAAAATTGGAGGGAGTACAGAAATCAAGGTACTCCTCGACAATGATGAGGCGAGTAGAGCCCTTGAAACTGGCAGAACAAATTCCTCACAAGTAGAGGTAATGAATTTCTGGGAATTATGCAAGACCCGACCAGCCATAGAGGTCTGCTGGGTCCCGGGACATAGCGGCATACTAGGCAATGATATGACCAATGCGATAGCAAAGGCAGCACTTGTAGCAAAGATTAGGGAAGGGAATTTACCGAGACCTAAGATCATCTGGGAGGAAGCTCTCGAAGTCCTGTCATTTGCATCTCTCAAGCGCCAATTCACAATCCGCGTACAGAAACTGGCGGAAGATTGGTGGCATAAGAATAGAACAGACAGGTATGAAGATCTGGACCTACTGATGCGAAGAAAACGCCCCCCGGAGCTAGCTCTACCTCAATAGGCATATCACTGCCTCATCGCAGCAAGGACTTGGCATGGCGACTTCGCCGGCTATCCCAGACGGTTCCAACGCCAGAGTGAAGAAATGCTTTGTAAATGTGGCCGAGAAAAGCGGCCATCGCATTTTGCAGAATGTCGCCTGGCTATCCAGAAATGGCGGACGGAAACGAAGGGAACGAGGCCGACTAAAAGGGATATGATAGGGCAAGAAGGATTTCAGATATTCTGGCGCTTTTTAAATGTAACAAAATGTTACAGCAAGAATGAATCATAAACAGGGGGTTAAAATATCGACTGTAATACTTCTTGGAACCGGTTGGTATGGTACGAGAATTAAGGTGTGGTGCAGGGCATTAGCACCTTAGAAATGATGATTTAATTGGTTTGGATTTGATTTCATTATCCTGATTTGGTGCCCAATGGGCCCATGCAGGTGTCTATCACACTTTCTAATTTACATGGGAGGAAAACTTTTGGTGAAGATCTCCCCAAACTTTCCTGTTTAATTCCTAAGTTTTTTCTAATGTATACTTAAGGAAGCGCAGTTACAATGTAGTGCCCTCCATATAACCCAATCACATCAGCTTTATCAACCTCAAGAAAGGCATGACCTGTTCCTTTCCCTCAGCAGCATTTCGACCGCCTTTGTCACCTGGAATTGCTCTATCCAACCATAATTTAGGATCCACTGTGTTATCCTTTTGATGTCTCCAGGATTTTTCATTATTGATTCGTAGGACCGATCTTTCGCTCGTCTCCAGATCTCTCCTCTTCTATTTGACCATCGATGGCAGGACATAATCTTGTGCTTGGGGTTCTGCAATTGGTAGCTACATGGACAACTTATACTGTAGAATCCGGGTACTTTTCTTCCATATAAATACGAGTTGAGCTCCATGTGCTCACTTCGTATTTGAAGCGCTAGACTGCTTTGGGCCCTTGTCAGGTTTCGGTGGAGTAGGAATGGCGATTCCTGGAGACTTATTTTCCATCGATCCGACTTTCGGTTCTGATCGAACTTGACTGCTCTCCAGATTTCGGGGTCAGCGATTGCTTTATGTCGAGGTAATTGGAGGCGCCTTTGATTTTTCCAGGGTTTAGCATATTCTTGGTATGCTGCAACTTTTCCTGCCTCTTTCTGCCGATTTTTTGATTAGTCTTCCCCACAAATTTCCAACCAGTTTACCAAATCTGGTCTCCTGTTAATGGCGCAAATATCTTTTCTACCTCGTTTGGGCAGCTTGATATTACTGCAGGTAGATCGTATGAGCTTCTGAACTGGTAGGTTTTTCGAGCGGCCGACGTATTGGAGTCTTTGCTGCTTCAGGTAGATTTCTATCGGTAGGGTGACAGTTTCGTGTTCGAGCACTCTCGTGCTATTCGGCTTATACGCTACTGTGACTAGTTTTAAGCAGTTTCTTTGGACGCTTCGAAGGGGTTTCAATATCCTTTCAGATATTTTACCACCTGGCCCGGTCATTTAATTTATTATTGTCGTTTTGCGTTCCTAGTTTCTATGAAACAAAAATATAGGTAGCGAAGAGTCCTGTAGATCTAGACTACCCGTGCCATGCCCTCTGGGTGCTGGGGTAGTACCTGGTCACGATAATAATAATATCCCATAACTCCGTCATGTCAAGGTGCAGGGATAATTATGCATGAATAATTTTTATTTTTGAATCATTTTATGTGTATTCAGCTATGTATGAATAATGCTGTTATAATTCAAAAAGACTATTATTTCACAGTGCCTTGGCAAAGATTGATAAGAAACAGTGATATTTTAGCACGCTGAACTCTGCCCTGAAAATGTTTCATTCCCAAATTCTTCGAGGACAATACTGGCAGGTATTTGGTCTTCGCTCTCGTTACAACGATATGTTACGGCTTGACCGTGGTTTAGCTTTGGCGGAGACCTAAGCGGAGTTTGGGGGCGTATTAGGAAGAGTGTTAAATATTATCTTGTATCAAGCGACTAAGTTTCACTTGGCCAAATTACATTGGAGGCAGGAAGGACTGTGAGACGGCGAGGTAGAACGCCAAGTGAGAGAGTCAAGCTAGATGGCAAAGATGACGACGGGCAGTGGCGGAGCAATATGTCATTCTCACCAACGGAGTACGAACTGGATGAGCTAGAAGGATACACAAATAGTCATTACCCGTAGTTGTGATGCTTCTCTCTTCATGTGGTTTAATCTTTCTAAAAGTACACTACAACAAGCCTGGTTTCGTCACAGATACGATTGTTAGTTCATTAGAATTTAGGATACTAACTTGGATCAGTGAACTTGAAGATACCAAGACCAGAAGTGTGTAGCTATGCTATTTATACTCTTCAAACTCCTATCTAAAAGGAGTGAGAGATCCCAGGTGAGGATATACGGCAAGACTCGGAATATCTGATAATTAACCAGGTACTAATTTTATGATTCTATTCCCCATCCAGTAATGGTTATTCATGGCTTTCATGGAAACTTCCACGCCCTTTTTCTCCGCCTCTTCAACATATCTAGGATGCACCTCCAAAGATCCATCAATATTGATTGACTTCATCCCAATTTCGACCAGCTCCTGAAAGCCGACTAGAGATATAAAGGTTTGAGAAACATTAATTTTCTTAAGCCTTGGATAGAGTCTAGCTATGGTAAGAATTTCACTATTACCAATTCTGAATCCCTCCAACGAAAGCTCTTCTAGTGTGGAGGATGGAGGAAAATATTCGTGGGGGTCAGCCTTTGTTGGAGTTGCAGGTGAAAGCCTACCACAGATTAGGGCTTTGAGCTTATTGGCTTGTATACAACTTTTTGTTATTTCCCATATGGTTGAGACTTCCACTTTGTTGTCTTGGATTGTGAAGGTCTCCAGAAGGGGAAGTGAATAATTGCCATTATCGTCATTGCTCCTGAAAGTTAAGCCGTAATTTTTTTCAAGGGTTAGATGTTTCAAACTCGACGGAAGTTTAGGAAAGATGCGAAGTTTGGTCTTCTTGAGGTCTAATGTTTCTAGATTAGGCCATTGCGTCATATCAAGCCTCAATTTATCCCGTATATAAGCCCTGTAGATCATGAAAGAACGGATGTTTGGAGTAACTTCAATCAGACCTGACTAATCACAAAGTCAGCAGAAATACCTGGAAATATGACAATGTGCATGGACAATTCGATAAAACTAGGTATTTTATTTTTATTCTAGTAACCAGAAATAAGTCGTATGAATCAAACAAGACTTACCAGTTCCAACTCACATCTTTGGCGGAAATGCAAGTGGATACTTCTAAGAGCACTCATTTTTGGCCATGGAAATTTTGACGGGGAGCGTTTTTCGATGAGACACAAAAATTCGGCCTCTTCAATTGTCTTTTGACAAGCCTCAAGTGAAGAAATCATCGTGGGAACATCTATTATAGTCTTTGGCGAAAAGTAAAGTTTTTTAATCCCTGAGGATTTAGCTAAAGAAGCAGCGTGTGAAATAGTAAATTGATCTTCGCCAGAAATCCTTACATCTTGCAACTGGTGACAAGTTTCCATAAGATGTCTGACGTTGGACTCATCTTCAAAAAACTTTATACCAACTAAAGCGCGATTGACGCTGTAACTAGAGACCCTGAGATACGATCTTAGAACTTTCAAGGTAATTGGTTGACATTTATCAGTCGTGATTATCGTAGTCCATAGATTCGTCATAGATTCCAGCAAGTTCTTCCAGCTCTTACTTACAGACAAGCATATTCTGTGAATAAATTAGTTACAGAAGTTGTGAATAGTTTCAGGCTTACACTAGATCGTGCGTACGCAGCTGTTCAAATATTACCTTTGCCACCTCAAATGGAAGAGCCTCTAGGGGATCTTGGCATTTGGAGGACATATCTATCAGTCAGAATTGTTGTGCATAAATTGCCAGGCCTGGAAGAATGTTGGAGTTTTAGAACATGGTCCGAAGGCAACTACTCACCTATTACAGCGAAATCGCTGATTGGATTAGTGTTCGGTTAGAGGCAGTGAATTGATGCGTGGTGAATGGTGAAGCAAAAGTCTCATTGGAGGTCGAAACCCGTCGACCGCTAATATCATTGGTGCAACATGCTTGATAGAAACTCTGGCGTCAAGTTTAATTTCTTAACCTGCCAGTACTATAGGTATCCTTGGCCTGTAGGCAGAGAGGACCTGCATGTCCTACATAGTCATAGACTCAGACAGGACAATAAAATGAATTAATAATAATAACTTGCCAGTACAGCTCATGTAAAATTGATCAGCTTGTAACTTAAGCCCCTAGTGAGTCTATGACTATGAAGGATAGCTTATGTAAACAATCATCTATTGTAGCTAGATAGGTGAATACCATATGATTCAAAAAAGTAAAAAGTAAATAGTCGGTGGGCTCCACGTATTTGGGACAGCCGAGAGATTTTGCAACAGAATCGAGGCCGAAAGCAAAAACTAGCGCATTTAAGATTAACGAGTTCTCATCTGGAGGGCAAGACTAAACACCTTTACGCGGTGTCCTCTACGAACCTGGGAGTGAAATATTCTCCCAGAGCCAAGTTCAGTCAAACTTCGCAAAACCAAACAAGTTGGGCCACGAGGCGGTGATTCAAACTACTGCACCACGTCAAATCTTCACTCCCAGAGAGTCCGATTCTTCCCTAAGCCTCATCAAGTCTACAAGTACGACCTAGCACATCCTTGTTCCAATGAGCACACTTCTCGTCGACTTTCTCTGGCCCCAGTCGGTCACCGAATGCACGCCCACGCCGATATTTATACCCGACAGAGGACACAGAGCGTGGCGCACAAATCTATAAGACAGTTCTCTGGGATTGGCGTGAGAGGATTCAGAACAAGTTAATAAGCCGATGCAAAGGATGCATACAGTCTCGACGCGCGTGAAATTTTGAATTTTGGTAAGGAGTTTTTACAAATTGAGCTTTGTGCGTACCAAGACTTCGGTTGCTAGAGTGCAGGCGACACTATAAACATCGCCATGGTTGGATGGTGCGGTGGTACATCGTCTTGTTTTTTTTTTAAATTATATTAAAGTCCTAAGCTAAAGCTCTAGGTCCCTTATTGGTACAAGACTGGTGGAGCCAGCGGGGATCACTGCTTACAAGCCCAACTCATTCCAACCGCTGGACTTGCTACAGAAATAGCAGGAAGTAAATTACGACGCGGACACCACCTACTCCAACTCCTAGATCAAAAATCAATCCTTTTCCCTAAATCCAAATAGCTACAATCTTTCCTCAGAGAAACAACACTTCTCGCCTCGTTCCCTTTCTTGTCATGTGTTATGGCAATGACTAGTTAATCTGATCCCCGCTGAGAGCAGTGGATGAGTGAGCAGGTCGTCTATAAAAACAGCCGGTTTCCTGCGCAAATGTTTTGAAGCTTTCGTGGCATTTGGGCCCGAGAAGCTTTTTGATAAATTCAACGTGGGACATTGACTTTCTTAGCCTACGCGTTTGTTGTGCGTGACGGCTACAGTGGATGAAGTGGGTTGGAGTAGTTCCCTTCCGGCAAGAGCATTCCATAGGAGCGTATGGATCATTAAGACAGCGATGGTATACCGCAAAGTTGCTGTGACCTGTTCGTGCTGCAACAAGTTCACGAAAGAGGTGCCTAGAGAGAGACAGTTCGGGTGGTTTGCGTCTCCGCACCTGTAGGCTGAGTTGGCGGTATTTAGGCTGACAGGCCTCTTCCCACCAAATGTCCAGCAATCTCTGCCATCTGCGATTCATGAGGCCTCGAAGATGTGCCAGAGTACTGAATCCTGGTTGCGTTTCCGGGCTAGGCAATTCTCGAAGTGCTGCACGGGCCATGGCACCTATTTTACCAATACTTCTGCCACGTTACTTGATGCACGGAAGCTGCGTACATCTTCTAGGCTAGTTGAGGACGAGCCTGTCTTTTTTATTTAATTGTTTAATGTCGTGCTAGCTCACAAGAAAACCAATTTTTTGAAATTCGGATTTTCGAATCTTCACCTTTCCCCCCTCACCCTCCCTCTCGCGCTCGTCGCATTCTATCAAATAATTGTGATCGAGTCATTGGCATTTTCACCATGCCACCTGTTCGAAAAAAGCGTCCCAACGTCAAGTTGGACAACACGAGAGTCCACCCGAGGGCTCTCGAACAATTAACTGGCCTTGTCCAGTCTCTGAAATGCGCGAAGATGAGCAAGGTCTCTTCTGTAGAGAAGGAAGAAGTCCTCCCCACTGTCAATGGACCCGATACTGACATGATCGGGTCAGTCGAAATTATTGAGGAAATTCCTCAACCATCCTCCGTTCCCCACGGGATTGGAGAATCATCAAAATCTCCCCCGACTGCATTAAAACCGTCGGAAAACGCTGCACCTATATCAGCGCCAAAATTAACGTCGCAGCCGAAAGCTGCCACGAAAGCAAAGTGTCCCCCCGAGCTTCGACCTATTGTCGAAGCTGAACATCGACGCGCCGCCGAAACAGCGGCAAATCTGGCCCTCTGCTCCGCCGCCATACTTGGCGTCGAAGCCACCCTTCTTCCTTTGACCAACGGGTCAAACAGACAATTCGTAGACTCCTTGAGAGTCTACCTACGCGCCGCCATTGCGCAATACATGGCCACGGGCCCGGCCACTACGCCACCCGTTCTCCCTCCTCGCCCGACGAACCCCCTCCCAAGGGCTCCCGACGCCAGGAGCCAAAAAATACCCACCGTCCCAGCTCTGCCCGTCAAAAGCACCTGGGCCACGGTGGCCAGACACGGACTGCGCCAAAAAGCAGTCCCTACTGACAAGGCTATGCTGCGACCTGCGGCCAAAGCCCACCAAAAAGAAACCCCTAAGGCGAAAGTCGACAAGCGACTGTTCCTTCGCCTTGAAAAGGACCAGCCGTGGCGAAAACTGTCCACAAGTTGCGTGAGAAGCAAATTGGAGATGAGATTCCTTTTCTTTCACAACAAAATAACCTCACTTCATTGAGTGAGGACCAGCTTTCCTATGCTAGCAAAGGACGAAAAAACACGACAAGAGATGCTAGATGGCTCTTCAAATCTGGCGAGTGAAAACGCTAAACTCGAGGCATCTTCAGATCTTGTAGCCCTACAGATACCGAACTTATCTGTAAATATAATTACAGAGAGTGGCCCCAGGGCAATCAATGCTGAGTTGGTCTTCGCCAAGATCACCCTTACAACTGGCGTGCTTCCAATCCAGGTTCGACCTCATGGGACGTGTCGACCTGGGGCACTATATCAAAACTGGCATGCCCTTTTTTCCCGAGACGATGCCCCTCGTGCGGGCTTCCGCCTCTTCGACGAGTCTGGTAAGGCTATCATTCACAAGCCTCGTCGACAAATGGAACAGTGTAAACGCTATTTGGGCTTCCACGTCACTCGTGGTTGCTCCCGCGCTCCAGCCTGCTGGAACTGCGGCTCCAACATGCACTCAAAAGCCGAGTGCAAGGCCCTCACTAAGTGTCGCAACTGCGGGGGAACCCACCGATCGGATTCCCAGGCCTGCCAAGTCAGACCCACAAAATCCGGACCAGTGACAAAAGAATAGCTCGCGTGGATCCGCCACCTCGAGCAAGGGGAATTCTCAAAGGTGGCTCGAGCTAGGGCTGCAGCCAAAAAGGCCGAAGAGGCGATTGTCGCTGCAGCAAAGGACATCTCGATGGCCGAGGCAACAGGTTTCGGAGCCCTGGAAGCTGAAGAAGAAGTTTGAGGACACAGCAACCTCGACAATGTCCCTTTTGGGGCATATACTAACCAATAGCAGGATACCGGCTGGATCAAAGGTGCCTGCTAACTCATCTACTGCTCTCAGCAGAGATTCGGTAAATTCGTCATTTGGAAGGTGTGACAGACAAGGGAATGTGTAAGGAGCACATTGACTGGGTCCATTATGGAGGAATCTTCTAGTTTTTTCGGAGTTGTTTTGATTTTCTTGATTTTTCGTTTCTGTTTAATCAGCTGCACTTTTGGTAGCAATTCACGAGGTTGTAACGAGTTTAGGCTGTAAGAAAAGTTGCAGGGAACCCTGCCGGCTTTGTCTGTCCTTGACCCAATGTGGAAAACATAGCTTTAGCTTAGGACATAATAAACAAAACAAAACAACAGAATTTATTGAAATTGATGCAAACTCCTCCATACGTCCCCTTACCCTTCAATTCATTATATTGCAAGCTAACATCATTATTCTCACAGTGGCAAGACCCCAAATCACCGAAATGTCAAAGGGGCCCACAAAAACCACTCGCCAGTTGTCAGGATCTCTTGGGACTTGGTTACTTAACTTGAACTGGAGGCGCTAAGTCTTGGGTTCTTGATGGTAAAGAAAAGATAATAACAATAAAAACTTGGTTTTTGATTCTTGGATGTCTAGGGAATAATACAAGACTGAAAGCTGGAGAGCTTTTGACATGAAGATACCTCAGCTACTTATGCTACAACACTATCAGCTACAGACTACAGTAATCTAGTTCCAGCCCGATTCCTGTCGAGCTCTTGAGAGTAACCTAGAATCTGATCGAAGCCCACTGAACTGGTAAGAGTACAAAATACCATCCCAAAACATCTAGAAACTAATTGCCAGAGTAGCTTAGAATTCCATTGAAGTAACTAGATCTTGTCTGGAGAGATACAAGCCGAAGTTAGGATCAGACTCTACCTCAACACTATGAATGTATCCATGACATAGCAGTAGCCATATAGTCTTAGAGCCAGAGGTTGGCTGGATACCATCTCCACATTAGTCAGTCCGTGACACCCCACGCACCAGCTCAAAGCAATAGCGAAAATTAAAAGCAGGCTGCAACAGGGCCTGGATTCAAGGAATGTATCAATCGAAACAATAGATCAAGACAAGATGGAGTCAGAGATGAC